GAGAATCTCAACCTTGATAAACTTTCCATACATGTCTATTTTCCATTTATTTTCCTTGTTATCCCGATGTCTTGAGTCATAAAAGTTGCATTATGGGAATAATTACTCTTAAGCTTATGTGTCCTTCATTTCACTGCACATTTAAAACACCCAGTATATAAAAAGTTCAGAGTGACTTCCCTTTTCCCTGAAATAACTACCAATTCAACATGGTGTTTATTGGTGGCAGCATGGTCCATTAACACAATCCCTCAGGACTTGCACTGCTGTGATGAGCAGATTCTTCTATGGAAGAAACATCCCTAGAAATAAAAATATACTCTCTTTTCAAAGACATTACTTTCAGCAATTAAATCTTTAAAAAGTTGAAAACATATTCTTAAAATTGCTAAGAGAGTAGATTTTGTGATTTTGCCACACACACAAAATGGTAAGTATGTGAGTTAATACATACAAAAATTAGTTTGACTTGGCCAACCCACATATATATATAGATTTTAAAAGAAGATGTTGTACACTTTTAATATATGGAGCTTTGTAGATTAATCCTTAATAAAACTGGAAAGGATGATGCATAAATAAAGATGAGACAGTTGAAATTTTTATTTCCCTACCAATAACTTCCTCAACTGATTTGCACTTTGAAGTTAGTTTGAGCTGCCCAAGTAATCTTGCTGTTTGATGAGTGACTCTAATATAAACATTTTCAGATTTAAAATGCTTGTTTTGTAGTAAGGGTCATTTATGACTTCAGTTTCCAATTCTATATAAAACTAGATGTGTTAGAAAAACTAATTTGTAAAAACTAAATTATGTATTAATTGATGAGAAATGAGTAAATTCAAGATGTAGTAAAGTATTAATATGAATGAAAAGAAGGAATCATAGGATAACATGAGCTTCTGATATTCTGTAGGTGAGTACTGCAACGGAGGGAGATAGAGCCTGGATTCCATCCAAGATAGAATCTAACAAATAATTCCTCTCAGTACCCCATCAGCTCTCACACATACACACAGACACATATAAATTCTATCAATACTCTGATCAATATGGGATACACATGTGAAAAAGAAAATAATTTTTTTAAGGAAGAACAATAACAAAAGCTGTGTATCCTAATATTTTCATACTGAGAAGAGGAAGGAACCTGAGTTTTGCCTGAGAACATTTAATATCTAGTAGACCAAAATTACATACACTATATTATAGCAATAATTTGTTAACAAAGAAAACATCAAATAGACCACAAACAAAATAAAACAAAACAAAAATCTCCAATGTGAGAATTTTTTTGTAGTCAGATAGTAATATTGTCAAGCTTGGAAATATACTGTGAGGTATCTAGTTTAAGTGTATGAGGAGAGAATTTTATGGGTAGTGCAGCATGCATGCTGACCAAAACTTCATTAAGGTCTGTTCATAATTGCACCTACCATCAATTAACATCCATTTCTATCAATATACTTGACATAAAATCAGGTAGTTTTTATATTGTGTTTTTAACTCTCAGACATGAAGAATTGGCATTATTTCTTCATTTATCAAGAGAGGAAATTGCAACTGAATATCAAACATGGGTAATTAGCTAAGCCAGTGTGTTATAGCTGCTGGAGAGTTCTGCAACTGCTTCTCTAACAACCCTGTCAAGACAGAAACTAAATGAATGTAATGTAAGTGATAAAGTAGAATATGCTAGCTATTTTAATTAGCATTTCTGTCAAAATTTTAGTAAGACAATTGTAATAGATGTTTGGTTGTGTTTACTCAGCACAAATAAATTTTCTAAATAGAATGTAAAATGACTTTACTCTTTTTCATTAGAAAAGGATATGTAACTACAAAAGGGGGTTATGTGGAAAAATTAAAAAAAATATATATGAGCAGAAACATTTGATGGATAAAAATCTAGAAAATAAGTGAGGATTCAAATATTATAAGTAATTATTTTAAAGACATAATGAGTTAATTCATTTTAGCATTTTAAATTGACAGTGATAGAAAAGAAAATATACTTTATTTTTAAAAATATCTAGAATCCAAGCTATTCAGAGTACATATTTTATCTTTTTAGAAATTCTACTATAAAAATAATGACATTTTGAAACTATTATCAGTTTTGGAAATGAATTTATCTCTGCTGAAATAAAAGTTCTGCCCTTTGTTGTTTTAATTGTTTGATATTGGGGTAGTTATTTAGACATTTTTATTATCAGGTAAAATGGTCATAAAACTAACCACATTAACTCCATCTCTACTTCTGTAGGTTGTGTTTGTGTGTGTGGGGAGAAACTAATTGAAATAAAAAGATCTATATAAATGATCTGACTCCAGATATATCTCCTCTTAATTGTTTAATCAATTTGATAACACTTATGACTCCAGAGAAATCATATGGCAGGGTCTAAATGAGTTTATAATCATAGGGATTTTTTAATTATTTGAAAGTGACTTAAAAATTATCCCAAAGATATGTTGTTTCTAATTTTCAGGCCCATGCAATTGTTAGACCTTTGACAATGCAAATTGTTTATCACTATGTATTTCAATAGAGTTTGTTGGAATTATTAACATACTTTGGGGAAAAATCTATATTTCTTAAATAGCAGATGTAAATTACTTTTCTTTAAAGAATGAAGAATAGGTTAAGAATCAAATTATATATATATATATATATATTTCCAGTTTCCTGAAAATCTAACACAAGTAAAATGAAAGGTACAAAGCAAAATACAATACAATATTTGAGGTAGAACTGTCACTTTTGATATCCATTTTGTAACTATATTGCAAATGTATTTCAGATTAACTTTATTTACAATTACAAATTATTACTCTAATTTATCTATAATTACTATAATTACTTTATTCACAATTAGGGCATCAAAGACCCAATTATAGTCCCAATTACAGGATAAGATGGGATGACTCCCAATTTTTGAAATGAAACTAAAACAAAGAAAAGGGCTAAAATGATAAATGTCAAAATGGCACCTAGGACATGAAGGATGTTCAGGAGGGTAAAATATTGAAGAAACTGAGCAAATTTGACAACTAATTTTAAAAAGATTCAAAGGCATAATATTTACCTTCATGTATTGTTGCATAGGTACATTAAAGAAATTCTTTCCTCTTTTTTCTTTGTTTTATTACATTTCTTAAAAAAATACTTAATTTAGTATTTACTCATTTTGATTTCTGATATTGACATTTTGAAACCTAGTGACTGGATTTTGAACCTTTTTTATGTCATTCTCACACTGGCCTTTTAGTTGTTATCATTAAGGGGGTAGTATCCATTTAAATTTAATTCACTCCCATAAGCTAAAATTCCAAGTTACAGTATCCATCTATATGAATTTTAATCTTTTGCTAAATTTACTCTAATCATTAGAGAAGCTTTTCATTATGTAGTGGGTCATAAAGACAGTGATTTTTTAGAATTTTTAAACAAAACCAAACTTCTTTCATTGCAAATTTTAGCAGTCCTAAGCAGCAAAATTAAAATGAAGAAGTCAGCATTTATTGTACTACACTTTCATTGCTATAAGCTCTTCCCAGTACTGCTATTTTTAGACACTTTGAAATGAAACATAATCAAATTATTGAAGACATATTATACAACTTAGATGATAGAGTCAAAACCTTTCCTCCACTGCTTTTTAAAAACTGTGTTACGCCAAGTGTTGTACAGTACACCTGTAATCCCAACCACTGGGGAAACTGAAGCCCTGCCTCAGCAACATAGTGAGATCCTGTCTCAAAATATAAACAAACAAACAAAGAAATAAAAAGGTAAGGATGTAGTCCAATGGAAGAACCCCCCTGGGTTCATTCTTCAGTATCCTTCCCAAATAAAACACAAAAATCTAAACAACAACAACAACAAAAAACCCTAATTTTTTTGAATGAAGGAGATAATACAATTGATCATAAATTGATTATTGATCAAATACCTTGTAAAAATGGAAAACCATAACTGTATTTTTAAAAACAATTCAAATGTAATATATTCAATCAAACTGGAATTCATTTCATCACCATAACTAGAAATAACTCGTGAGCTATTTAGGAGAAACTTACTTGGATCACATCAAAGTATCCATGAGGATTGATGTGCATTGCACTGATCTTTTTTCCTTGTCTCATGGTCATGCTTTGTTGATGATATGCTCCAGTCTTTGTTAGGTAAGAAGATTCATATAATGGATCTGGTCACTATGTATATTTAAAAAGTAAATTAAACTTTTTAAATTTTGTATTTGTTATTTTTAGATATACATGACAGTAGAATGTATTCTGACATTATACATATATGGAGTGTAACTTATTCTAGTTATGATACCCTTATTGTACATGATATGGGGTTTCACTGATTATGCATTTATATGTGAACATACAATGTTATGTCTGATTTGTTCTATCTTCTCTATTCCCTTCTTCTCTCCTGTCCTTTCATTATCCATCTTCTGATCTACTGAAATTCTATTCTTCCCCTTCTGCACCCGACCTTTGTTGTGTGTTAGCATCCATATATCAGAAAAAAAAAAAAAAAACATTGGACCTTTGATTTCTCACGACTGGCTTATTTTACTTAGCATGATAATCTCCAGGTCATCCATTTACCAGCAAAAGTAATGAAGGCATTCTCCTTATGGCTAAATAATATTTCATTGTATACATATATATCACATATTATTTATCTATTCATCTATTGAAGGGCCCCTTGGTTGGTTCCATAGTGTATCTATTGTGAATTGAGCTGCTGTAAACATCAATGTGGCTGCATCACTGAAGTACAATGGTTTTAACTCTTTTGGATATATAGTGAAGAGTAATATAACAGGACCAAATGGTATATGTCCTTTCCTAGTGTTTTGAGGAATCTCCATATTGCTTTACAATTTTGCCAGACATTTTTTAATGGATTTCTGACTTTTAGACTTATGAAATAAAATATTAAGAGGCATTACTTGAAGAACCAAGAAAAAATGTCATCATACTTTCAAATTACAAGATATTTTATTGTATATTCACTATATTTGACAACTCAGTTTGAAATGCCTTCAAAATTGATGTGACTAAAAACTTCTTGAAGGTTTCTAAGAATCTATAGCTAATGTATTTCTTTTAGATATAAGTTGATTGAAACACAGGGACATGTCTTATTTTATAAAAACATAATGACATGCAATCTTACTTGGAACTCAAGTTAATTGCCCAAGGAGGACTAACATTTTTAAAGATGGAATAAGAAGCTGTATCATGTAAGTTTGAAAGTGAATTTTGAATACATTGTCACCTCTAACTTAAATTTTAAATATAAAAGATCCATGGCCATTATTAGGTTTTTGCCTGATGTTATAAAATGGATTGATTTACCCATGAATCATTTATGTCCTATAATTCATTATGTCTAATTTATGGTTACACATATAGTTACTCAGGAAATAGAATTTTGAGTAGTAGGAGAGTATCATGTTTGAGATCCTGACCTATGAACTCAGGCTGCTTAGTCTGAGGATGCTTGAAGTTTCACAACCCTTATGAGGTTACTTAATCACTCTTTCCTACATATTCATCTGTGAATAGGAACTAAATTAGCATCAACTTCCTACTTGTTTTGTTGAAGTACTGGTCTGTACATGCAAAGTACTTAAAACTACTAGTCATGTGGTACATTACATATAATACTTATTGTTCTCCTTTATTATTATAATTAATATTGAATAAGTTTACCAATCAAGGGATTTGAATTTCTACTGCCCAAAACATGATGATGCATAGAAGAAAAGGTAGTTGCTGCCAAGAATCTGGTGGTGAAGTTCAGGAAAATGACAAATGGTGCCCAACGATGCACAGTCGTCCTACTCAAAGATGAAAGGGAGAAAGTATTCTGTGTCAGCAATCACTGTAGAAAAAGATGAAAAAAATACATAAGCAATATTTTGCTGATCATGACTATAGTAAAATTAAAAGTGAAATACAGCTTAATTTAGGGTAAGAAAGGTGTAAGCAGAAATCCTAAAAACATTCAGCACAGAATAATTTCAAAAAACTCAGATTACAAGTTTTAAATCAATAGCATTTTCTTTCTTTACTCAGATATTCTGTTGCTAGAGCTAAAATATTAAGAAATCTATCATAAGATGTTTTATTTCCAGAAAACATCCTGTAAAAATTCCTAAGTATGTGTATTGCAATAAAAATGTAATTTATAGTAAAGAAACATGATTAAATAAAGAATTAAAATTAATAGATCATTTTGTCAAGTATATATTTTTGTCAGGGACTGTGATAAGCATGTTACATATCTTTACCTTCAAAATCCTATATAGTAAATACACACTCAGAACTTGTCTTGAATCAAATTTACTGAAACAATTTACATCCAATAAACTCTTTATTTTAAGTGCATAGTTCAATGAATTACGAAAATCATACATTTGTTTTATCATCACTATGATTAAGATATGGTACTTTTACATACTAGCAATAAAATATAGAATTAAAATTTAAAAATAGTAAACATAAAAGTATAAAATAATGAAATATATAGTGATAACTATAATTAAATATGAATAAGATTTGTACAATGAAAATTCAAAATTACTGAAAGAAACAAAAGCAAGTCTAGTAATAAATTGAAAGACAGACATCATGCCCATAGATCAGAAGAATCCACATTTTTATATTCCTTGGCTTGAATTTTAAGAAGAAAGTGCTGTTTCACAAACTTTGAAAGGAAACTATTACTGTATGGGTGAATCAGTGATAGTGCCCGTTTAGGGTCTAGTTAACCAATATTTGTATATGATTTTAATTTTAATATAATCCCCATAGTACTGTGTCATCTAACATTTTAGCCCTCTTGAGATACAGTTATTATTTTTACCAATGCCCTAGACACTCCATGGAGTGTCACTTTGAAGAGTAAATGTCACTTTGAAGAGCTTGCTTAGCCCTTCAGGCAACTAGTATATGTCAATTGTATTTCTGCCACAGTTCTATGAGTGATAACCATGACTTTTAAATGAGTCTCAAAGAGAACATGCCTCACTTGGTACCTGCTGCACCACAGGTTGTTACTGATTTCTGATTAAATTGGCTGAGCCAGCTTAATTTTAACTTTTATTTATTGAAGTGATGTGGAGTTCTCATTTTTTTAAAGTTTTAATATATTATTAAAATTGATATTGGGGTAAGGACCTAAAACAGAATCTACAAGATTATTTTTATGCACAGACCAAATTGTCTAAATGTTACACTCATTGTTTTTTTTCATATTGTCGCAAATGCATGAAAAATCTTTAGTGATAGAGAAAAAGGCCTCTGGGACCTTTATGTGTCAGTTAAAAGACAGATTGTTCTACCTATAAATTTTTCTCCCTTGGAACTGACATCCAATGTCAGAGAGTCATTTTCCCTTCACTGAGGATTTTTTATGCAATTCCTACAGCATACTATATTCCATTCTTTACAAGAAATGTTCTACTATTCATGTTAGACAGCCAGACACCTTGCCTACTGTCAAAGAATGGAATGGAGAAATTATATGTTAGAGCACAAACTAGTAGTACATATGGATATTCAAAATGTAAAATAAAGGCTTAATTACAAAGAGAGTCACTTACTATGATAATAAAAGTATGGAAACATGCCATCTAACCAATTTAGAAAAAAAAAATAAATAAATGCAATTATCTGCAATGATGTTTTTCATAAAATATATTTGAACTAGTTACTTTTAAAATTTCAAAAAATTATGTTTGCTAAGTGCCCTGGCAACTTTGTGTTAATGTTAGATGATACTTTTGAATTTTAATTATAAAAATATAATCACAGGCCTCCATACCAACATAACAAATAAACATAGCATTGATTTTTAATTTTCCCACAATAATCCTCATTAAAGATTTGTCAATAAATTTTGTTAGAAAACTGCAGTGCTAAAATACTTAACTCCATATTTTTTTGTTTAATAAAATATTGTTAATTAGCTGTCTATTGAGGTGGTTCTGCTCTGATTTGGAGTCTCTATAGGAAGCATTTGGCTGGGTTTGGCTGAATTGCTAAGGAGCATAAACATAGCCTCAAATGACATATTATTTTATGATATTAAAATATTTTAATTATTTCTATGCCCATTTATCTGTGATTTCATATAATATTGAGAAAATTTAAGACTTGTTTTCTGATATGTTAATTATAAACCCTGTTGATTATAGTTCTTTGATTCTATTATTTTAATTTTATGCTCTTACAGCAAATTTTTCTTTATCTCCTCTGTTAAACAAAACTGGAAACCTGAACTTTGCTAGAGAAGATTCAAAGGATTTGTCACTCAATCCAGAGCCTATTTCAAATTGGTAAATTTTAAAGTGGAAATTATTGACTGTTATAATTTCCAATTACACCTATTTTTTAATATAAGGTGAATTTATTGCCTAAATCTGTTCTCCAGTTGCAACATTAAATTGCAACAGAAGTTTAGCACAAATCATCAAGGAATATAATTTCCAGTGTTAAAATAATTAGAAAATTACATTTTTTTAATGCATACTACTACTACTGGTTGGATTTGTTTGAGAAAAATGATTGGTTGTCACAATTTGGATTTTCATTGTTTGTTTCTAAGAAAGTATAAAAAAATACTCTCTATCAGGTGAAAATTAAAGTGTGTCCAAATTTGAATTGGGAAATCTGACAGAGAAATTCTGGGGAAGAGGCTGGGGTTGTGGCCCAGCAGTAGAGCTCTTTTCTAGCACTGTGAAGAGCTGGGTTTGATACTCATCACCACATGAAAATAATAAAATAAAGGTATTGTGTCAAACTACAACTAACAGAAAATATATGTAGAAATTCTGGGGAAATAATATTTTCTTTTTGTATTTGGTTAGCTAATTTTGTTTATACATAAAAGATACTTGAATTAAATAATTTAATAAATTTATTTCTAAATTTTTTGTTCATAAGTTTTTTGTTGTACAAAGGGAAAATTTATGCATCACTACAGTATTCTCCCTTCAGAAAATTGGGTAAAGTATTAGCTATGGGGTATTAGATTTATAGATATGTACGATGAGCTTCAAAACACTGCTTTCTACATTTAATAACAGTCTTGCTTGGGGACCCATGGTTTTTCTTTTTGTTTGCCTTCTGACTTCTCTATGCCACACAATACAGGACATTGAAACAGTATATCCCTTGCAACAAATTATACCTGTTGACATTTTCTTGTAACTTCTCTAGAACACATACTTTCTCCTTGAGATATTCTTACATTCAAATGAAAATTTCTCTAAGGACATTTCTTTTCAGAGCTTTATAGTTACAAATAGTAATTGGATTCATCCCGACAAACTCATACAAGCATAGAAATCTATTTCAGTTCTCTATCCCCTCCTGTTCCTTTCCCTTTCCCTCCTTTTCTCCCTCCCATCTCCCATCTCCTCTACTCTATTAGATGCTTTTGTGCTTGTCTATTAACTTAAATATCATTTGTTCTTTATGTTATCCTCTTCTTCCATCCCTGTTTCCTTTATTTTACTCTCACTTCTGCATATGAGAGAAACATTTGACCTTTGAGTTTCTGAGTTTGGATAATTTCACTTAGCATGATATTCTCCATTTTCATCCACTTACTCTCAAATGCCATAATTTCTTTCTTGTTTCTGAGTAGAACTCCACTTTGTGTGTGTGTGTGTGTGTGTGTGTGTGTGTGTGTGTGTATGCATGTGTACCACAATTTCTTAATCCATTCATCTATTGATTCACATATGATGGGCATCTGTCATAACTTAGTTAGCTATTGCAAATTGCACTGCTAAAACACTGAGATGGCTATACTGCTATAAACATTGATGTGGCTGTATTGTTGTTGTATGATGATTTTACATCTCTGGAGAATATTCCAAGGAGTGGGATACCTGGGACATATGGTATGGTTCCATCCCTAGTTTTTTGAGGAATCTCCAGATGCCTTTTCAGAGTTGCTTTACTAGTCTGCAGTCCTCCAAACAATGCACAACAGTACTTTCCCCCAACAAACTCACCAGCATTTATTGTTGTTTATATTCTTGATCATTGCCATTCTAACTGAGTGAGATGAAATCTCATAGCCTAAAGACAAGGCTAATATTGGTGAGTAGCTAAAACTATGACTCCTTTACTGAGATACCTCTTTCAGAATTTTATGCCATTAACTAATTGAATCTTAATAATCACCCTTTTAAGTTGTTACTACTACTGCTGTTTTATGGTGTGAAAGTAAGGTGCAATAACTAACTCTCCAGTATCAGAGAATATATGATAAATCGAGTATTTCAACATAAGTTCCTAATAGATATGCTCCATTCTTATTTAAAATTCTTTTTCTACCCTCTTTACAACTAATTAGATATGTTTAACATGGATTTTCATTCCAGGGTTTTTACTTGAGAAAGGAAAGCAAAATTATAATCAATATTTACTGATCAAGGATGGCTGAATTCCAGACTATGATGGCAGTGCCAGCATAAGCAAAATTGTTTGATTCATAAATATACCCTTTAGCACTCAAAATTATTTATGGAATATAGAAGAATAAAATATCATCTAGTACACAAAAATCTAACTTGATTTATATAAATGTAATCATTCTTGATCTGGCAAAGTGAATGCACATTTTACATAGTACATTAGAGTCACAGTTATTTACTAAATGTCAGAATCAGTTCATACACTCAGAGATCCTTGAATAAATGGGAGAACAAATACCCTTGAGGAAGGCATCAAAAATCAGTCATAAGTACATCTGTGAATTGTCTACTTGGTTTCTTCCATGGGGTCTCTAGGAAAGAAAAACATGTAGACCTTCTAAGGGTGTTTGTAATCTACTTCCTGTGGACTTTGAAAGACATTACAGTGTAC